AACTTGAAGTGGACATCCTGCTGAATGTCAGACGATTTTCCTGCCTGGCCTTGCCTCCCTTGGCTGAAGGCTTAGTATGTATTTAATGAAGCTTTTTAATTCTTGATATTGTTGTAGGAACGTCAGGAGGCAGAGAAAATGTTCAAGGGCAAACGAGGTGCTCAACTTGCAAAGGATATTGCCAAGCGAACCAAAACGTAAGATGAAAGTCCACGTTAGACAGCAGCTCCTAAGAAGCACTGCACCCTGGCTCATAGATCCACATCTGTCACCTACAGTGTATCGGTGTACATGAGAATACACGGTGATGTGTCAAAAACACACACTTCCCTTTGAAAAGCTATTAATGTCTCAAGTGAGAAACAGTGAGCTCAGTGTTGCTCAGGACTGCTGTCTATGGACAATGTATCAGTTTATTTGACTTAAGAAAAGATACTATACATGAGGTGGCTACATTGGTTGCTAGGTCAGAGAAGCCTGTGTGTCCACGTGCTCTAAAGAGGTGTGTCGTTTCAGGTTCACTCCTGGAGGGGCCGCACAGCCGGAGAAGAAGAGGAGCGGGCCGTCTCAGGCTGACGTGGAAGCCATCAAGGTTCTGCCATTGCCCCTGTTTTGTTAGGGGTCTTTATGTTTTGAGAGCTGAGATGGAATTGCCATTATTCCTTTATCCACAATGTGAAATGGGATTTTTTGCATTTAACAAAAAACAAAGATCTATTAAAAACCCTTTAAAGTTTTTTTAAACTTACAATTCATTTGCTGTCTTTTTCTGGAGGCTTCATTACGTTTAGCAACTTTCAAACTTAAAAGCTCCACATAAAGCCAGTGATGGTTCCTCCAGCTGTAAAGGTCAAGAAAGAGCGCCTCAGCTTATTGTTGAACCTTTTATGAAAGTTCCATTAAACCATTCACCTTTTTAAGCGTGTCCAAATCAGCTTCTGATGTTGTATTTTTCTTTTTTTGGAATAAGGTTACGTTTATTTGACTACTATAGAGATGAATTCAGTTTTCTTGCTGGCTGAATTTGATACCTGAAAATATACATTGTGTAACTCCAGTGTGTTTGCATTTCAGAATGCCATCGCTAATGCGTCCTCATTGGCTGAGGTGGAGAGGCTGAAAGGGATGCTGCAGGCCGGTCAGATACCAGGACGAGATCCCAGACAAGGTCAGTGCTGACCCAGTACTTCTTCAATATTTCACTGACACTTTAAAGCTGCTTTTAGACTAACGTCTTCCAAATAAATCAAGAGCCACAGTCAGGGTAGGTAAGTTGTCAAGCATCGAGCAAAGAAATAAAGGTTATTGTACTATTCTACAAATTAAATCCAATAAATAGCCTACTCTCTATTTTTGGTCTATTGCTCCTGTTTCTCTGTCTCTCTCTCTGTCTCTGTCTCTCTCTCTCTCTGTGTCTGTCTCTCTCTCTCTCTGTGTCTGTCTCTCTCTCTCTCTGTGTCTGTCTCTCTCTCTCTCTGTGTCTGTCTCTCTCTCTCTCTCTCTCTGTGTCTGTCTCTGTGTCTCTCTCTCTCTCTCTCTCTCTGTGTCTGTCTCTCTCTCTCTCTCTGTGTCTGTCTCTCTCTGTGTCTGTCTCTGTGTCTCTCTCTCTCTCTCTGTCTCTCTCTCTCTCTGTGTCTGTCTCTCTCTCTCTCTGTGTCTGTCTCTCTCTCTGTGTCTGTCTCTGTGTCTGTCTCTCTCTCTCTCTCTGTGTCTCTCTCTGTGTCTGTGTCTCTCTCTCTCTGTGTCTCTCTCTCTCTGTGTCTGTCTCTCTCTGTGTCTGTGTCTCTCTCTCTCTGTGTCTGTCTCTCTCTCTCTCTCTGTGTCTGTCTCTCTCTCTGTGTCTGTCTCTCTCTCTCTGTGTCTGTCTCTGTGTCTGTCTCTCTCTCTCTCTGTGTGTCTGTCTCTCTCTCTCTCTGTGTCTGTCTCTCTCTCTCTCTCTGTGTCTCTCTCTGTGTCTGTCTCTCTCTCTCGCTCTCTCTCTCTCTCTCTGTGGCTCTCTCTCTCTGTGGCTCTCTCTCTCTGTCTCTGTCTCTCTCTCTCTCTCTGTGGCTCTCTCTCTCTGTCTCTCTCTCTGTGGCTGTCTCTCTCTCTGTCTCTCTCTCGCTCTCTCTCTCTCTCTCTCTCTCTCTCTCTTCATTTCATCTGGTGGCTCTCTCTCTCTCTCTCTCTCTCTCTCTCTCTCTCTCTCTCTCTCTCTCTCTCTCTCTCTCTCTCTCTCTCTCTCTCTCTCTGTGGCTCTCTCTCTCTCTCTGTGTCTGTAGGGTTTTCTCTCAATTTTGAAAGATTGATGGATTCTTAATATGTGCACTTGTAAAATCATGTCCAGCTGGGACGGTGGAGGAGGAAGAGGAGGAGGAACAAGAAGAACAACAAGAAGAAGAAGAACAAGAAGAAGAACAAGAAGAAGAACAAGAGGGTGAAACGGCACAGATGGAGTCACACATGGGAGGAGGTTCTGGAGAAGAGATCAATGACGGCGAGGGAGAGGAGGACGAGGAGGAGGACATGGAGGAAGAGCCTCAGGTTAATGGCTCCTGAGCACGTTTTTTTGTTTTTTTGTTTTTTGTAGATTTTCACGAGTTGGACATGCATCACTGCAGTTTTATTTTGTAAACAGACATATTAAACTGATTGCTTATATTGATGTGTGGAACCATTTTCTTTAAGCAGTTGGCTGACAAACACCATTTAATGCATATTGAGCCCTTTTTAAAGAGGACATATTCTGATCATTTTCAGGTTTCATAATTGTATTTTGCCTCTACTGTGACGTGCTTTGGTGGTCCTCTACTGTGACGTGCTTTGGTGGTCCTCTACTGTGACGTGCTTTGGTGGTCCTCTACTGTGACGTGCTTTGGTGGTCCTCTACTGTGACGTGCTTTGGTGGTCCTCTACTGTGACGTGCTTTGGTGGTCCTCTACTGCGACGTGCTTTGGTGGTCCTCTACTGTGACGTGCTTTGGTGGTCCTCTACTGTGACGTGCTTTGGTGGTCCTCTACTGTGACGTGCTTTGGTGGTCCTCTACTGTGACGTGCTTTGGTGGTCCTCTACTGTGACGTGCTTTGGTGGTCCTCTACTGTGACGTGCTTTGGTGGTCCTCTACTGCGACGTGCTTTGGTGGTCCTCTACTGCGACGTGCTTTGGTGGTCCTCTACTGCGACGTGCTTTGGTGGTCCTCTACTGTGACGTGCTTTGGTGGTCCTCTACTGTGACGTGCTTTGGTGGTCCTCTACTGTGACGTGCTTTGGTGGTCCTCCACTGCGACGTGCTTTGGTGGTCCTCTACTGTGACGTGCTTTGGTGGTCCTCTACTGTGACGTGCTTTGGTGGTCCTCCACTGCGACGTGCTTTGGTGGTCCTCTACTGCGACGTGCTTTGGTGGTCCTCCACTGCGACGTGCTTTGGTGGTCCTCCACTGCGACGTGCTTTGGTGGTCCTCTACTGCGACGTGCTTTGGTGGTCCTCTACTGCGACGTGCTTTGGTGGTCCTCTACTGCGACGTGCTTTGGTGGTCCTCTACTGCGACGTGCTTTGGTGGTCCTCTACTGCGACGTGCTTTGGTGGTCCTCTACTGCGACGTGCTTTGGTGGTCCTCTACTGCGACGTGCTTTGGTGGTCCTCTACTGCGACGTGCTTTGGTGGTCCTCTACTGCGACGTGCTTTGGTGGTCCTCTACTGCGACGTGCTTTGATGGTCAACACAAAAGACAAAACTAGGCAAAAGTGACGATGTTGACTCTAAATTATAAACGCATGGAAAAGCATATAAACAAACAAGATCTAATGCATGCAACTAAAACCAAAATTGTACTTATACATTTATTAAAGGGCAACAGGCCACAGCCTCTCATAAATGTTGGTGGTTTTAGTTTTTTTTTGCCAAACGATATCTGAAGGCCACTGTGTCAATGACCTCATTAACACTTTTTATGCATTGCATCTATCATGCTAATGTTCCGCCCTGGGTGCTCAATGTATCAATGCTGAGTTATTACCTGGGGTTATCCACTCTCACTCCTGCATTTCCTGCTAATTTGTCAATATCAATACATTGAGATGCCCCAAAAATATACATGCATTCAACTAATGCAACTAAATGTTTGACATGCAAACCATAACTGTGACATGTGACTCAGTAACTCAAGTCCTTTTTTAACAAGTCAAACCGTAGTTAAAGCATGTCAATGTTTTGAATGCAAACCAGATTTGTTTGTTTTAGAGGGTTTTTTTTAAACAGAAAATATATTCCCATTGATGAGTGTGACTGGGCGGCTGTGGCTCAATGTACAAATCAGAGGGTCAGAGGTTTGATGTCTACCCCCTGCAGCCCCAAAATGCTCCCTCGGGCTTTGATAGGTTTGTAATGTAATCCGTCCAAAAGCTGGTTGTTACATTAAAGCAGTAGGCAAGTACATTCTGGAAGCAAACAAGGACAGAATTAGGCCCACTGTTCACAGAAAATTGGAGATATTGCAACAATGGTCTATATTATTCGCCTATTTGTTTTTGCTAAAAGACTAAAACAAGAGTTAAATCCAAATGAAAATCCTGCTGTATGCCTGTTTTCATATCCATCTATACCAGGGAGGGGTAGCCAACACGGTGCCGGCACTTAAATCGCTCGCCAAGCAAATCCAAAATGTATAAAATACACAAAACAAAAAAGGAAATGTAATTAAAAGAATCTACCCTATGCATAAACGAAACCTAAAGCGTAGCGAACTCTATCTAATTACTACAACTCTATATCTATCTAACACCCCTCCTCCCCCCACCCCCACAATGAATATCGACCAATCACGTTCTTGCTTGATTTGCGGGACCAGCGTTGCAGTCGGGAAGAAAAGCAATGTGTCACCTCACCACTTCATAAGGAGTTTGACTGTGATTTTCCTTCTGGCAGAATCTACACATCACATCAGCCCCATTGAACACAGCCTAGTCATGCCAGCCTATACTGCACATGAGGGGCAGAGTTTTACTCTGTGTGTGTTTTAACTTGCATATATATTTATTGCACTTGATGCACACACTCTAGACAATTTGCTGCCCTAGGCGAGATGTTAGCCCCCCCAGCCAGAGAATCGTACAATAGAAAAGAGAAAGATAAATAGAGTATCCAAGGAATACACAATAGAATAGGGGATCCGGGGGTATGCCCCCCCCGGGAAGAAATGTTTGAACATTTTAAAGTATGAATTACTACTAGATCTAGGGGGTACAACTCTAAACACCCATATGAAAAAGATCGGTTTACATTTTAATAATCAAATAAGTATGTGAACATAACCAATAACCTACCATAGCCAATAACAAATAAATGTAACTTAGGCCTATTTTTGTTGTTCATATCTTAGTTTACCTAGTTAACATTTATTTATTTATGCATAGTTTTTTATCTCTCCAGTTTTAAACTATATTTTTGGTTTACTGTCCTATAGTAGCCTATACATTGGAATGATTTCAAGCCTGTTTATCCCAATAATTATAAATGAGTGCCTTGGAAATATGTGTTTACATAAATTGTGATCAAAACGTTTGAGACCCACTGAGATAACTTGGACTAAAGTGAACTTTCTAAACACTCAAAGAGTCCTTTACCTCACTGAGCTGTAGTTATCAGCCTCTCAGTCTGACTGGAGAGGACTCTCCCTCCACATTATTTTAGAAACATCTTCTTCTTATATCCGTTAGAGCAGCTAGCACCAGATTCTAATAACAGCGCCGGTACCGGTGCGCCCTCTGCCGCCACTGCTTACAGCGCCCATCGTACAGGGCAAATGAAAAGTGTAACCGGGGTGAAAAGGGTGTTACGTTTACTTAAAGGGGACCTATCATGCAAAATGCACTTTTGTACGTCTTTTATACATGAATATGTGTCCCCGGTGTTCCAGGGAACTCACCAAGTGTCAGAAAACACAACCCTCTCTATTTTCCTCCATACCCAAATCTCTAAAAAAAGGGGCTGCAACGGATCTGATAAAAACTGATCCAGATTTGAACACTTTACTGACGTCAGTAAAGTGGCGCTACGGCTATTGGGCCAACTCTCCACCTATCAGGGGAATGTGGGGTTGGGCCACGGCCGGCCATTGCCGCTCGAAAGCGCTGGAGACGCTGTAGTACATATGCCAGGCCTGTAAGTGGCGCTGTAGTCTGCCACAAAAGCAGCGAAGAAGACTTCCCGCCCATAGTTACCATGGTTACCCTTCTGTTTATTCTCCGCTGTGGCTTTTTTTCTCCCTCCCCGAGGCAAGCGTTTGCTCCCGCTGCTTTAATTCAATGCAATCCCTCCCCGTCGAGGCAAGCACTGTAATTCTCTCCGGTTAGTAGATGACAGCAGATCACAAACACCCACCTCTCCGCCTCTTCCAAGGAACGAGGGGACCGTGCGGCAGAGTTTCAGTTTCTTTCGCCGGTCAAGATGTCCGTTAAAGTTTAAATCTTCCGGACAAAATTATAAAAGTGCCGGTCAAAGGTCTTCTTTGTTATTTATTGAGCTTTAAAACAAATGAATAACGACTCTATAGGCCTATAATAATATAATAAAACACGGAGGACGGAGATCTTTTTTTCTCCCCCTCTTGACTTGATCAGAGCACGGCTCCCCTCTCCTGCAGGGGGGCGTGGTCAGCTGCAGCCCCGTAGACAGCAAACAGCACATATGCCCCTTTCACACCGGCGCTTTTCCAGGAGCTGGAAAAGCGCCGTTTTTTCCTGTTCACACCGCAGCGGCGGCGCGTCATAGCTCCGGAATGCGGTTCACTTCCAGCTCCAAAAAATTGTCGGTCCAGAGGCAAGAGCTTCGGAGCTATGACGCGGCGTCTCTTACGTCGAGGCGTGCAGGAAACCTTACTTTGACCATCCGTTCGCTATTATTGATCATTGTGGAGAGCAGGCAGACGTTTTGTTTGTTATTATAGCAGCTATCGGATGGAATTAATACATGGGCTGTACATGTTGTCATGTCCGACTATCACAAGTAGAATCATAATGAAAAATACGCCGGTAAAATGTGCCTGTAGAAAACGGCTTAGCAAGTAGTCAGTTTAGCTTCGGTTGCTATGCTAACATCACCCATGTTATACCAGAGAAACTTTCATAACAGCGTTGTGATGCCAAACAGCGTCAATTCAGACTGACACACATTCACTTAAGGGGAACTGGGGATATGTATCAGCTGCTTGTGTGACAGTCAGACAGTGAATACTTTAGAGCCGTGTGAGCTAACCCGGAGCTAACGGGAGAATAAACTCCCGTGGAGAGCAGCCAGCACTGCAGCAGTCGGTAAATGCCGCTGAAACACATTAATAAACAATGAACCACGGCACTCTGGAGAAAAGTATAAGGTTGGAGAAGTCGTTATTTAATTTAATCTGGCTTCGTATGATTAAAAGCAACACGATCATCGACCCGACGCAGTCCCCGGCCCGTTGTTGTTGTGGGAGAAAATCAGCGACGTAAACTGTGACATGACGCAGCAGCGGCAGCTCTGGGCGGTGTGAACAGAGCGGGAGCTGAAAAGGGAAACGGGAGCTGAACCAGAAAAGCTCTCGCTAGGAGCTAGAAAGGGAAAAGCGCTGGTGTGAAAGCCGCAATAGAGCGAAATGAGGCATGGCTAAAATGCATGATCTGTTTGGTATTTTGAAAACAGAAACGTATAAATATACCTTATATACAATACAATATATCATTTAAATATAGCATGATAGGTGTCCTTTAATTATGAATGTTGTTACATCAAGGCCGAAAATTAGGATGAGCGCCAACGGTAAAAAAAAATGTTTTCCCTCCCAGAGCTGCCAGCGCAGCGCCTCCCCAGATCTGGCGCCCTATAGGCTGCATCTCACTTCGGTTAAATGAAATCCTTGCGTCCCTCATTTGTGTCGTTTCCCTGCGTTTAGTCCCTCCCACCAGGGAAGCATGGAGAGACGCAAGGAAACCACGAGAAGCAGGGAAATGAGTTTTAAGAGCAATGGGACGTCCTTTCCTCCGGAGCGTCACGTGAAGCGACGTCCGTTTGTGATGACTCCGCACAGCTGATCGTCTGACAGCAGCCAGCTCTGTCCCCGTTATTTTCACAAACACCCCCGCCTCTGTTAGTACACATTTACTGACATAAACATTTGTATCATCTGTTGTAGACCCAAATAAATAAAATAAAATAAGAACTCATTCTCAAAACAGATAAACGCCATTCTTAAAATGTATAAACGAACAATAGTTTGATTAATATTGATTAGAGTGCACAATAGAAATAAAACAATTGAGAGAAAAATAGATATGTTATCTATCAAAACCCAGTTAGATTAACATTGTGTGGAAATGTAGCAAATTAACATTTTAAATAAATAAATGAATAAATGATTGTTGACCACTTTGTTGTTCGGATATATCACATATTTGTAACTAAATGATACATTAATTTCACTGGAGGATGGTCTGGTAGTTCCTCGATTATCGCTCCTCCGTTATCGCTCCTCGATCCTCGGTCCTCCGGCACAAATAAGGCCACTGGGACGCTACTCAAGATGGCGCAGACAAATCAACCTCCGGTGATACCGAGACCGAGGAGCGAGGAAATTAGAAATAACCGAAGTGAGACGCAGCCCTAGGCGAACATCTATAACGCCAGTGCTACGGGCCGGCCCTGCGCACACACACGCATGGCGTAATTTCCACTGGGGACAGGGGGGACATGTCCCCCCCCACTTTTCGAAATCCCGTTTGTGTCCCCCCACTTTACAAATGTTTATTATTATTTTTTAACGCAAGCCGTCCTCGCCACGGAGGAGCACACAGCCTCTGTGAGCGAGCGAGACAGAGAGAGAGAGAGAGAGCGAGCGAGAGAGAGAGCTAGGGAGAGCACACCTTTATCTATTTAATATAGATAAAGTAAGAAATCATTCCAATGTGTACTATAGGACAGTAAAAAAAACAAAAAACAGTTTAAAAGGGGAGTGATTCGTAAAATATGCATAAATGAAAAGATAGAATGCTAACTAGGTAACATAAGATAAGAATAAACAAGTTTAAATGATTTGTTATTGGTTGTGATCATATTCTAAAGATGTTTGGATCATTGAAAAGTATACAGCTCCCTTTCATCTGAGTGTTGAGAGCTCTATCCATGAATTCATTTTGTGCTCAAAGTGCACCAGATTGATGCATTTAACCAGTGGCGGCGCCAGGGTATGGCTGGGGTAGGCTACAGCCATACCAAGAAATGGCTTAGCCCCACCTCAGCCCCACCATGAAAAATGATATTAAAGTAAGCAAATTAAATTAAATAATAAGCAAAATGCTAAATGTTGAGAACACGGCTTGCGAAAATATACGGGTCGTGTCCACAACACACAAACTGATCCTGCTGTAACAATAAGTGCACGTAGCTGATGCAATATGGTTGAGACCATTCGGGGTTATGCTAGAAGAGGGGAGCAAGGAATAGTCTAAGTAGTGGGGGAGTTTTATACACTAAAGGTGTGGAAATTCTCTGAGGTTATAATATCAGCGCGGCCGCGGTCAGATCAAAATGCCTCCGAATGCAATTTGAATAGACCTACAGACAATCAGAGCAACGAAACGTTGGGTCTGCGTCATGCATTACTGATTGAGATCAATCGGAACCGCCATTCAGTATCCCCATTGGATCTTCAAAGTGTACTATCATACGTCACGTTCACAGTGATCCCTTTTTATTTACTACAAGACAAATGTGCCGTTTTATTTCATACAGTTCCATTTTGATTGAGACAGGGAAATAATCTAAACCTCACGCGTGGCGTTTCACTGTCAAGGGGGGAAATATAGCGTGTATGTAATTACTTTGCAAATACTGACTTGAGCCCCACCACTGTATGGGTTAGCCCTACCATAGATTACCCAACAAAAACACTCTGGTGCCGCCACTGCATTTAACTTCAACATTTAAAAAAAATCTTCCCGGGGGTACATGCCCCCGGACCCCCCTAGAGGAGGAGAGGTCCACCCCCAAATAAAGCAGGTTAAAATAATTAAATTGCATACATTTTCTTTTAGTAAACACTGAAAACGGGTCCCACAGACCCAAACAGCACACAAAGGTTAAAGGTAGGGTAGGTAAGTTTGAGAAACCGGCTCGAGATCGCTAGAATTTGAAAATACACAACCGGAGAAAATCTGCCACTTCCTTATAGAGCCCCTCCTCCAACACACACGAACGCGCACATGACCAATGAGGGCACGAGATAAGTTTGTGCACAGATGGAAGGCTGACGGGCAGGTAGGCCATCCAGTTATTTTAGCTGGGCCGGCTAAAATGATTGGTCGTACTTTTTACAGTATTACGGCTTCCACAGATGAACATTTTTTAGGGATTTTTTGTCAAAGCACTTAAGATATTCATTGCTATCGGGATGTTAAGAGCATTCCATGGAATATAACAAAAAGTGTATCTCGAGCCGGTTTCTCAAACTTACCTACCCCACCTTTAAAGGTAAGCATATAATAATGTTAAAATGTGCTAAATATATACACTGCAAAAAACAAAAAAAAGAGGAGTAAAAGTAGCTCACGACTTGTTTTATTTTTTGAAAGTAGCTCTCATCCTAAAAAAGGTTGACAGTGACCCCTGATCTATACAATCACACCATTTTGTAACCAAGAGTCGCCTCTCATGGCCATGGAAAAGAAGGCAGGGTTGAGGCGCTTCCGGATTGACTTCACTTAACATGACATAAAAACCATCGTAAAACGGGGTCAGCCCGATCAGCAGTGTTATAAAACGTCTCCGTCAAGGTTAATAAACACTGCCTTTTAAATAAAAATGTTTCGTTTATTCTAAACGAAAACGTAACACCTCTAAAACGATTCCGAGCGTTCGACGGCAGTGCTAGGTTTTCCCACGGGGCGGAAACGCAGCACTAGGCCAACACGTCATCATAGAAGCTGCCAGCCAGTCAGCAAACATGGCGGACATGGGACCTCAGCACCGTCAGTGACTTCACAGCCGCTTGACATTTGCTCCGCAGCACAGTGCCTCAAACACCCCGACAGCTTCCTTTGAGTGAGTGAGAGAGATGGAGGATGTGGAAGTCAGTGACGGAGACTCGCCCTACACGGTGGAGAAGGCGCCTCTCAGAAACCCGGACCTGACCCCCCTGAGCCTGAACGGTAACGTTACCGTGACAACTTTATCTCCCTCACTATCGGAGAGCTGTATTTAAGGCTAAACGTTAGCATGGCGCTGCTTTTTAGCGGCTTAGGTTTATTGGGAGTTATACGTCATAACGTTGCTGTGAGAAACATTGTATCTTTATAGCTGCTTACTATAACATTCCGTCCTGTGTAGACTATTTAATGCGCCACAGTCTCATTTATAGTCGCAGTGTATCTCACATCATGGTCAGTATAATCATCCTTCATGTTTCCTGTTGGCCTGTTAAAGTTGTTATTGTCCCACTGTCTCTTTGTTCACGTGATCTGGCCTATATGAAAGTTCCCCTGTCTCCATAGTGGGAGAGCTGCTGTCCCTGTATGGATGGTACCTGTTGTTCGGGACTCTGCTGGTCTACCTGCTCCTCCAGTACCTGAGCAGGAGGAGATCCAGCCAGCGCAGCCCCCCCCCACCAACACCGCAAGGTCAGCACCGGTTCACCTGCATACTAAGACCAGCTACAACAGACAAACATGATTCATCCCATATTCTATCACATTACATCCATTTTGAACAAGCTCCATCCTGTCCTCTAGCGTTGTCCCTATAACAACTATTTGTTATCAGAAGTAACGGTGGAGAGATTCTGGAACGAGACATGTGAATATTGTTTTGTATTGTATAGGGCTGTCAGTCGATTAAAATATTTAATCGCGATTAATCGCATGATGTCCATAGTTAATCGCAAATTAATCGCACATTTTTTATCTGTTCTAAATGTACCTTAGAGGAATATTTTTCAAGTTTGTAATACTCTTATCAACATATGAGTGGACAAATATTCTTTATGCAAATGTTTGTTTATTATAATTGGAACCATGACAAATATTCTCCTGAATATTCTCAACACAACAACCTGGAACCTCTCTCTCCCTCTCTTACACGCTCTCCCAACCCTGTGTACTTCTTTGCACTGAGCCAGTTGCTCAAACAGACAAGCCTGTTTACAGTTGTCGGCAAAATGCCGCTCCTGTCTTCATATTCAGTCAAAGCATGAGACTGAAGTTCCCACTGTGGGTCAAAATCAGGGACGTGCACAGACATTTTGGGGGGGCAGGAGCTCAAGTGAGAAAAAGGGCACTTCCCATAATCATTTATAAAAGACTTACTGACACATTTATTTTAATACCCTCACACTCACGCAATTGTTTAATACTCAACAGAATTCTACTAACACTACGCACAAGAGCAGGGAGGGAGGGAGGGTAGAGAGAGCATCGGAACTTGACAGTCTAATCTCCCGACCTGATATTTTTATTGTCTATTCAATCAATATATTTTTGGAAAGTGAAACTGTGCGCAAACAGCAGTAGATATATATTCATTTATTAAAAATAAATATTTAAAAATAACTTTCTCTGGAGGAAGAAAAAGGGCAGGGGCTCAAGCCCACTTTGATGTCTATGTGTGCACGTGCCTGGTCAAAATAATGCACTGTGATGTGCAGTCGACACGTTGGATGCGATCCCAATGATCTAACGCAGCCCCTCGTCCTCCACAATGTGAAGCTGTAGCCACCCATTTAGCTATCGCTGTTGTTGTGCAGGCGTCTCCCCGGCAAACTTTCAAGCGTGGTCTGCCGCAAGCGAGCAAAAAATTGCGTTAACTTGACAGCCCTAGTATTGTATTATAAAAGATGGGTTAAGTTACCACCGTTCTTGTACTGTATGTAAATGAATGCTCCAGACTACGACGTGCTCTATTCAACCTTTGTTCATACACCAGAGATCTACATATTCATGTCTGGTAGGAAGGAAAACTTCACTCAAACTGTCTGGCTGCACACGCATACTCTTACTACGTCACATCACGTGGGCCAACCATAAACAAGCATAGATAAACAGTTTTATCCACATATTCTGTCAGAATATTACAGACTGCTCCTTCACTTATCATGGAGACCGGCACACACCCGGAGATGACTCACTGTTCACCTTCCTGCCCCTGTGAGCAGGGGGTTTTCTTATGCTAATGCACCTAAACACTACTGTTTATCCACTCACTTGTTAGCTTACAGTCCTTCCCAGTGTGAGTTCCACCACTTTAAAATTCCTGTTACTAACTTAATCTTAACTTGTTGTTTACTTCTCATCCAATCATTTAATCGAGCTAAACAGAAAACAAATGTTTAGTGGTCCTGAGGGTTCCCTGATAAACCTTGCTGTACCATTATATATCGTATCATCCCCTTACATAGTGTAGGATACCCTGATGTACTGTATCATCCTCTTACATAGTGTAGGATACCCTGATGTACTGTATCATCCTCTTACATAGTGTAGGATACCCTGATGTACTGTATCATCCTCTTACATAGTGTAGGATACCCTGATGTACTGTATCATCCTCTGGCTCAAACCAATGACAGAGGCTCTCTCAGTGCGTCAATAGATCATTTCCAAATAGTTCTACTGATACATTTAACTTCTAGTGAGTGAGAGGAACAAATGCAGTTGCTATTCTGAACAAATCATCTATGGAATGAAGATGTTTTTTCTTTCCACAATATTTGCAAGTGAGTAATAGATGTTGTGATGTTTCTTTCATAAAGATGCTGCCTTAGTGGCCAGGAGACAAGAAGCCATGGAAGCAGCTCGGATGAAGATGCAAGAGGAACTTGATGCCAAAGCTTCCATCTTCAGAGAGAAACAGAAACAGGTGCAGTAATAAATACAAATAAAAAGTATGTTTGAAAGAAAGATTGTCCATGATGTAACTCTTTAACTCAATGTGTGATGTATTTTTGTGAATAGCAAGAAGAAGAAAAGCGGAGGCAGAAAATCGAGATATGGGACAGTATGCAACAGGGAATGAGTTACAGAGGACCAGCCACACCTTCTCAGGTGAGAGTCGACCTCTTCATCAGACTGGTCCCTGGTGGACACATTATGACATGGATTTGAAATGTTCAACAGTTCGGAATGCACTACATTTTACAAATCATTTTCTTATATTTATTCATCCACACTAAAGACAAAAAATGTTGGTTATTACAACATGCTTTTACTATTCTCCACTGCCAGGGAAGTAATTGTACTCAGTATATGTCTGTGAAAATTCCTCTGGCATAAGTGTGCTCAGTATATAGCTCAGTGGTCTTCAATATGTTTTACATGCAAGCCGCATTGATGGACAAAGTCAATAGGAGAGCCACTTATACCGCAAAGTATGAAAAGCATGTCTGCTTATGAATCTGTCACCGCACCCAGAACATACAATATGCAATAGTGCTGAGCGTCTTTGAGCACTCGGAAAAGCGCTATATAAAATAAATTCATTATCATTATTGATAAGCAGGGGTGCACATAACTTTCTTAGTGAGCTACTCAGATGGGTACCAGGAGACAGCGTTTGGTACTCACCCCACACGAAGAGTGGTCTTCCTCACTGTCCTCCTCAGTGTCCTCTATTTACACTTCTTGCATGGTAGATGATGAAGATGCTGCAGTCTTCCTCACTGTCCTCCTCAGTGTCTCCTTCACTGTCCTCTATTTACACTTCTTGCTATTTACACTTCTTGCTATTTACACTTCTTGCTATTTACACTTCTTGCTATTTACACTTCTTGCATGGTAGATGATGAAGATGATGAAGATGCACCTCCCTGTCTCTTTTTAAGCCTCCGATTTGCTTTCTCCAAAACGTGTTGCCAAAACTGTGAAGTCCTTGCATTTCCTGAGGCCAAGTTGAAGGATCAAATACTAAGAAATTATCACATGACTTGAAGTCATATCTGATTTCAGATGTGGGAAGTTCTAAGTACTAAGTACACTTATATTCAAGTATTGTACTTAGGTACAATTTTGAGATACTTGTACTTTACTTGAGTATTTCTATTTTATGCTACTTAGTACTTCTACTCCACTAGAGTTCAGAGGTAAATGGTGTACTTTCACTCCACTACATGTATTTAATACCTTTAGTTACTTTACAGCAGGGATGGGCAACTTGGATGGTGGTGGGGGCCACATAATTGATGTAGTGGCCACCAGGGGGCCGCAAATTCACTTGGAACACACACACACACAAATTCCATGTATTGTATGTAATTATTAACAAATATACTAAGTCTGACATCTTCATTGACATTTTACAATCTTTCAGGGAACATCCTCTAATAAGCTCACTAAACAAATATCAGTTCACAGAAATGTTATTTAATGTTTACAAGTGGCATGTTTGTATTGAACAGGTTATTTAACAGGGGAATAAAAATATTTTAAACTATTGGAAAGCACGGAAAATGTGTGTGCATTGAGATTAAACATTAAGATGACATAAACATGAAGTCATGAACACTAACTCAAACATTAGTTGTCTAACTTGAACCTAAGACACTTGTAGCCTGTCTCTGCATTCCCCTTATTCCACAATAAGGGGAGGTCGGGCCGCCATTTGCCCATCCCTGCTTTACAGATCTGGATTAATGATGTGAAATATAATCAAGTGTTAAATCAGACTTTAGTTCCACCTGGAGTAAATTCACAAGCTACCCTGCAGTATACAAAGTCATTCAAACTAGCTGCACCTTTACCAGCTTTGAGAACACTTTCATGATCAATCATTATAAAACATATATTATATTATTCTGAAATGGACCAATCTGCACAATGACTACTTTTACTGTCGCTACTTTAACTATATTTTGATAATACTTTTCTAATTTTACTTGAGTAACATTTTGAATGCAGGACTTTTACTGTAACAGAGTATTCCTACACTCTGAGTACTTCTTCCACCTCTGTCTGATTTCAAACTCTTCCATTAACACCCTGAGTAAGTTTGCAGCTGTGTGTTTTGCTCCACCTTTTTGTAAATAAAACTGCAGCAGCTTGACCACAGCGTTGTGATCAGCTGATTTGTCGCAGTTCTCCAGTGTGTGCGCGGGGCACAGAATGTGCACAGGGGAGTCTCCCACTGCAGCCAGTTGACGTAGTTTTGGCACAATTCTGTTGTACATACCGACGTTAACAGCAGCCCTGTCTTTGCACACGGCACCAACTCTGTCGTCCAGTGATCTAAGCCTCTGCCTCCTGTAAAGCTTCACAGGTCCGTCGGCTATGGCCTGCGGCTCGGCCAGCTCCCAGTTCAATCAGTCCAAGAAAGTCTGAAGTTTTTTTGCAGGGAGCGAAACCCCTAAGTGGCTGCTTAATGTATTTTAGTTTTCTGGACATGTCTAATAGTTTACTGCACTGAGTGTTGATAAGAAACACGTGTAGACAAAATATGTGTTTTTGTTTTGATGACCTATCAGGTACGCAAAGGCGCGCAATGACTCAAGTGATGTTACGCATTTCAGATGTTGCCACGCATGCGTACCTGCGTTATGTGCACCCCTGTCTATCACCCCTTCATGTCATGAGGAACCCTGATTTAACTCATGGAGCAGCCAGGAAGACAAAAGAAAAAGGGTACCACTTTACAATAAGACTACCCTTATAAAGGGTTTACGAATAGTTTGTAATTAATTTATTAATTAGGTTGTGAACACTTTATAAATCATCACTAAGCTTTTATAAGACATGAGATAAACAGGGCAACTGTGACCGGTTGCTTGCCAAATAGTGAGCCCACATTTACCTGTAAATCAGCCAGCATCCTTGGTATCTGTTGCTCACTGAGTTGACTCACTCGCTAAGTAGCCAATGTAAGGCTTAGTCATCTTGCAAAATAGTGAGCCTGTGTTGATGTATGAAAACTATGTTACAACTGGTTTATAAATGGTTCTTAGTGTTTACAACCTAATTCATAACCTAATTATAAACCCTTTTAGGAATCCTTTTATAAGGGTAGTCTTATTGTAAAGTGGTACCAGAAAAGGAGTACCGGTACAATAATTAATATTCCGGGTTGTCTTCTTCCTGCACTTTTTTGAAGTGATCCGCTGCCACAACAACACTTTTAATGTGAACCACACCAACATGTAAGGGATAATGTGCAGCAATCTGGTCATTAAGAAGAAAAGAACCCCCACAATGCCGCTTATTACACGGCTACTTACAAAACAAAATTGATGTATTCATATCCTCGATTCTGTCATCAAGCTCTCTGTGTCTTTACTAGGGGAGTTCCGGCATCATAAATTAAAGTTTGCTGCTCTCCACCATGTAAAAACCAATATTGAAAAATTGTTCCACGTGTTTTCTGATGAAGGAAAACAAATGTGTTTTTTTGGCCACAACTAATTAAATGAACCTCTTTCTGGTTGTTATGACTGCACATAGTCACTTGATCAGAGCTTCCTCAGTACCAGTCTGCCATTTGAAAAAGTCCAAGTTGACCATCAGAATTGAGTATTCAACTAAGCTAATAAGTGGGATGACATCACTCTGTTTAGTGTCAGCAGCTTTAGAATCCATGTCGTGTGCCGTGACTCTGAATGTTTCTCCCTGCAGCCCCCTGCAGAGGCCAGCTCCTCCGCCGCAGCCAGACCAAAGCCGGACAAGAAGCCCCTTCGCAGTGCAGGTGTGTATTTCCCAGGATGGAACACTGAGTGGGGGTCATTAAAGGCTACTCCTTTGTTCCCAAGACAAGTGCCATAAAACAAAGCTACACGCACACAAACAACATTAATGAGGCATTCTGTATACTGTTCCAGTATGAAGCTGTGTGGAGCACAGGGTGCTTCACTTTGATATGCTTAACCCACACGAATACATGTGTCACATAGGGCAACACACATGTACCAGTGCTTGAATGATTATTAACTAAAAGTCCCATTTGTTTAAACGTGCGTGTATTCAGTACTAGGCATGTCAAGATCCTAGAATATTATTGGATACTGCTACTAATAACAGTGAAATTCCACGATTCTCAATACCAATTCAACATCACAGTGAAACACTCAAATAAAACGTTGTATATGTGTATACCACTCCCATACCACCTGACAGCCAACTGGCTGCATGGTTGCCCTCCCAGCCTGCAGTACACATGGATAAAGATGTGCTGAGTCAGTACTGACAGAATCTGATTCTGAGGGCATCAGGATGGACATCTGAAACATTGAGCACCACTATTAACATGTTGACTTAAAACCCCCAAAGTGTGTGGGTAGCTCCTTCTTGTTTTCTTCTCTTCAGCTCTACAGTTTAAACCAGGATGTTTTTAGTATACTGAATCCTGTTTTAGCAATTAGTCGTTGGTTTTTCTCTGCATTTCAAAATACACGTGTGGCGGTAGAGCCTCAGAAGGGTCATTTGCAAGAGTCAGGTACTTGAACCACAGGTGCAGTAGTAGGGTGTGTACAGACACATAAACGTGTGTGTGTGTGTGTGTGTGTTGCAGCTTTTCTTACCTTCTTCTCTCTGTGTGTTTCAGACTACAGTCCCCTGAGTGGACAGGAGGGGGGCTCCTGCTCCTTCAGGCCTGGCAGGAGGGGGCCATCAGCTGGTGGATGAGGTTAAAGAAGGTCAGAGATGTTGATCTGTATGACCTTTGACCTCTTGATGTGCAAACTGACTGGAGGAGGCTCAAACTTCACCGAGATGTTGTTTTTTTACTCCCGTTTGATTCCTTATTTACTCTGTAATCTCTCAAAGATAACTTGATAATCGTCCATTGTGCATCTTGAAGTAGAGAGCTTGTAATGATGCCATTCCTGTAAGCGGTGTTACCAGCAGGTTTGGCTGATGAACTTCAGTCAGTGTGTTTTTTCTCATATGTTTGAATATGTTTCCATTAATGTGTTCTACCTAAGCTTTTAACATGTATGTTGCTAGAGCAGTTGTAGCTAGTGGACATGTGGTTGATTATTAAAAATACTACATTCAGTTAATGTTTGGATCTATCAAAATGCAAGGATGGTTTTTTTATACTGCTCTGCACATTTGTTATGTAATAGAAATGTGATCACCCTATCGTTTACATCAATATCTGTTTTCTTTGATCTCAACTGAGGAGGTTTCATATATTCTTATTAATAGAACATCTGATCTTAAAGTGGACCTATCATGCTATATTTGAATAATATAGTGTAGGACCAAACCTATATAAGGCATATTTATACTTTTTTTTTTTCAAAATACCAAACGGATCATGCATTTTAGCCATGCCTCATTTTGCTCAATTTGACAATTTCTAGCTCTGTTTTAGCAAGGGCAGATTCAGTGAGAACAGCACCATCTACTGGCCTGGCATATGTACTACAGCGTCTCCAGGGCTTTTGAACGGCAATGGCCGTGGCTGTCTCCTCCTGATTGGTGGAGTTGGCCCAATAGCCGTAGTGCCACTGTCCTGACGTCAGGACAGTGTTCAAATCTGGATCAGTTTTTATCAGATCCGTTGCAGCCCCTTTTTTAGAGATTTGGGTATGGAGGAAAATAGAGAGGGTTGTGTTTTCTGACACTTGGTGAGTTCCCTGGAACACCGGGGACACGTATTCATGTATAAAAGACGTACAAAAGTGCATTTTGCATGATAGGTCCCCTTTAAGTGGCTCACTATAATGAATAGAATAGAATAGAATATATCTTTATTGTCGTCATACAAAGTACAATGACATTTCTTTGGCAACTCTGCAGTAAAAAAAAAAACGAGTGCCATAGCTGCCTTAAATAGGTGAAATGACAAACGTCAAGCCAAGCCCAAACAGACTGAGTTACTGTTGCCCCCCAAATATAGTAAAACAATGTCCAGTGATTTAAGAGTAGTGGCAGCATGTCCATAACCCTGAGGAGGTAAAGTGGATTGTGTTAGGATCCGCCTGTTATTAAGGAGCTAAGATTGACTGCATGGTGAGTATTCTGTCACGAATGTTGATTCACCATGTCAACATGAAACATAAAACAAAGTTGTTTCAATGATATTGATGTTGCCCACTAGAAACAGAATATATGAAGAATAAGAGTGCATTACATTTAATATGTTTCAAATACATGCCATTGTATTACATAAACAAATAATACAATCAACTCCTAATCATTCAAATAAAAGCCTTATATGATTTTGAGTGTGTCTGTTTGTGTGTGGACTGCCGAGGACCACAAGATGGAGCTGCACACCAGAGGAGATTGAAAGACAAGCTGTGTCTGTTATGTAGCACAGAAGATGTCATGGAGCAAAACACATTAACTACAACAAAAATAATCTTTATGCTGTCCAGTTCAGCTTTCAGGACGCTGTTTTTGGTTAGGCTAAGCAATGCTAAATGTTGGCGTCATTGGGCTAAACGTATTATAGTACAGTAATTATACATAAATGACAATTATAACTATTAGGACTTTTGTTATTATTTTGTTAAAGCAGAAGGCTAATACTGCAACAATTGCAGGTTGGTTCAGTGATAGTGTCTTTTCCCATTTAACATGAACGCAGCATCGTTCAATCACATTTCAGGGATAGGTGAAATATAACCTGGCTGTATTTCGGCAAAATAATCCAATCTCCGAGTTTACAATTCTGTCACGTGGGGCACACATGACGTGTTGAGAGAAAATCAATTCACTTTACATAGGTTATTATTCTTATTTTTAGTTGAATTCAGCGACTATGCATTGTTCCCAAATGCAACAACTAAGCGAATTTTGTACGCTGTAATTCATTCGCGACTGGATTGTATCCCATGGCAACTGTGGTGGAGGCTCGTGGATGTGGTTTTAGGAGTAGTTTGCCGACTCAAAATTACATAAAACATTTATTATTTAAACACAAAACATTTATTAGAAGGCTGCGATGAATGAAAGAGGATGTCGTTGTAGTACAATATTTCTATATGATGCGACGTTTTACAGAATAGATGGGGATAAGAAGGTATAAATCATGGTATAAGTCTTATACATCCATGGTATAAGTAGGCCTACTTCCGGGCCCTCCCACGTGGAAGGGTCTAGCCAGTCACAGCGCTGTTACGGCAAGCTCGTAGGCTCAAACAGCCGTTAAACCCTTCGCGATCAGCGATCCGGACGGTCCGATATTCTTCCGGCAGCGAGCATGGGGCCGCTATTCAAGGCAAAGGCGCTGCTTGTGTCGGTCGGTGAGGTGTTGCAGTGTGCCTCTGGTCGGTAGTGACGGACAGACGGACAGCTGGCTGAGCGGAGAGCCTCGGCACAACGGCTCAGGTGGCGACTTCAAGGCGACTGCTGTGATGCTACGTAGGCAGCTGGAAGAAATGGGATTTCCTGCTATGAGAGAGAGTCTTTGAGCCCGGAGCTTCGGACTTGCCTCTTCTATTTTACCTTATTTTTAACTGAGTTGGTTGGTTTGCTTTACAGACGCGGTGCTGTTCGGATAGCTACAGAGGGCACTGGTCGCTTGGGGAAGCTTTGGGGAATGGCAGGTCGAAGCCGAAGAGCCTGGTTTAGTGTTCTGCTGGGGTTGGTGGTCGGGTTCACGCTGGCTTCCAGACTCATCTTACCCAAGGCGACCGAGCTAAAGAAAGCCGGACAGAAACGGACGGCGAACCCTGCAGGCTGTGGACTGAACGGGGGTCACAGGAAGGAATACGACGGAGTACTATGGCCACCGCAAGATAACAGTTTACCGGCGACCGAGAAGCCTGAATCCGGGTCCAATCATTTCCTGTTCGTCGGTGTGATGACTGCCCAGAAGTACCTGAACAGCCGGGCCGTGGCGGCTCATCGGTGAGTGTCTCAGCTTGGAGCTGCCGGGGCTCTGTACACCTGTAGTCTGCCTTCTCTGAAGGCTCACCTTTAGGAACATGGACCAATAAGATAAGATAAGATAAGATGGTACTTTATTGATCCCAATTTGGGAAAGTGTTTTTGTTGCAGCAGAGGTGGAAGAAGTACTCAGATGTTGTACTTTTTAAGTAAAAGAGTGTATTAATACTCTGTTACAAGTAAAAGTCCTGCATTCAAAATGTTACTCAGTAAAAGTAGAAAATTATTATCATAAAAATATAGTTAAAGTAAAAGTAGTCATTGTGCAGATTGGTCCATTTCAGAATAATATATATGATATGTTTTATAATTCTTAATCATTAGTGTTATCAAAGCTGGTAAAGGTGCAGCTGGTTTTAATGACTTTGTATACTGCAGGGTAGCTTGTGAATTTACTCCAGGTGGAACTGAAGTCTGATTTAACACTTGATTATATTTCACATCATTCATCCAGATCTGTAAAGTAACTAAAGGTATTACATAAATGTAGTGGAGTCAAAGTACACTATTTAAAAGTCTCTCAAAATTGCCAGTCCCAGTAAATCACTTTCGATGAGCTGCATGGTCTTTCATACCATTATCACCACCCAATGTCAGTGTGTCATTGGTTCTCACTGATAGCAGGCACCCAGTACACTCTATTTAAAACCCTTTTTAGGGAATTCACAAGAAAACACAACATTTTACTAATGCAGACTGTGGGATATGTTTTTTTACTGATGGGCGGGCATTACTCGAAGAGCCCTGTGAATCGTCGTGTTTCCAGTATATCAAATACTAATTTAGCCCTTAAAAGGACAGTCTACCAGAGACCCAGTGATATCTCAAAATGACTTGTTTGTTCAGACTAACAAAGGTTTAGTCACATTCATTGACAGTGCTTTACAAATGAGAAATGCCCAGTGGCACGTTTTTAAGTTGTACTCTGTTCCAGGGATAATGTTATATCCGTCTTTAAGTCCAACACAGATTGCCTTTACATTTCAGCAGCCCTCTGATAGATTATCAGACGTTGTTTCTGAGGCTGGCATATTTAAATGTGCATGCTCATGTGCTGTAGAGACCTGTGTCATCACACCCCAGACAGAAGCTCAGGACCGTTCACTTCTGCCCTGATGCTCAAGCTCTGAGATTAGCAGCTGTTCTCCTGGAAATAAGTAGCACTTGGACGAGCAGATACTCATAATGTCTGAACTCTATGAACAATATTATTTCCTGTGTGTAGTGATGTAAATGTTTAAATGTATCAATGTAAATAATTTAAATGAAGGCCTGAACATTCATCTTCCAACAGGACTATGATGTTGTTGCAGGAGAGTGTTTTATAGTGAAGGCCTCCTCTACTGTTTTTATTTTCAATCAGGACGCATGGTCTGTGAATGAAGTCAACATGCAAACTGTTCATTCTGTTAAACAGCTCTCTTTTTACCTAGGTCTTTTTCTTATTTGAATTCAAATGCCTAACATCTGGAAAGAGCAGAATCAGTAATCTAATATCAGTATCACAAAATAAAAGTACTGCAACCTGATTACTTTACGTTACTTTTACGATGGTGCAGTGAGGGCTAAGAGGCACTGAGATGTGCTCAGGGCCAAGACCATGACGTTTATCCTGAATACAATGGGGACCCAGTGTAAGGATGCATGGAAAGGGTGATGTGGCCTAGGGTTTGGACAAATATGTTGCCACTGACATTATCTATCGATCTATTTCACTGCCTTGCAATAATGTTATTATTATATTATCTTGTTGAGTAAAGGCTCATAGCCCTTGGCTGCAGTCATGTTTCACTCCGAGTCTGCGATGTCCACAAGAGAATAATTTTCTGACAATGTTTTACACCGCTTATTAGAGAAATACAAATGTAGTGGATAGCAAAGCAACAAATCAGACAAGGGGATGTTGTTAATAACCATATATTAATACATTCACAGTACAACAAACTTTTCAGATAAGTTTTGTTTTGGGCAACTTTGATCTTCCCCCAGAAAGGCACAGATGTCAAATGCAGGATGTAGATGTTGTCAGCTGCTCATGTTGAACATCAATATGACTTCATGTTGGGTTTACGATATGCCTCGCGCTGACTTTTTTGTGCGTCCCATCATGCTACATATGTAGCGTTTCAGACTTTTAGGTGAAAGCACAACCAAACGCTGCTTGTTAGGGGGCGCTATAGAGCCTGTTTGTGTGCGCAAATTATGAAACCCCCAATAGAAATATATTTACACCTGACCCGACAAGTGTTAAACAAACATCCGTCTTTTACTTTTTCTAAGGCCCTCAAAAAGGCAATTCATTTGGTAGAAAAAAATAATTCCTAGGATTACAATAGGTCTTCGCCTTCGTCGAGCTCAGGCCCTAATGAGCCAACAAGTGGCGTTAGCGCACACACCTGCACCCAGTGTAAACTCTGTTCTCTTGCTATTACTATTCAGCCCACATTCTACTTTGTTCCCATTGCACAGAGTACAGTTACTAAGACAACAAATGCATTTCAGCAGAGTACATACAAAATTAACAGAAGAGACACTAGAGAATAAATATAGCATGTAGAACAAACATTAAGGGATTTATATGAAAACGTTTATAGATATTTATGAGAGATAGGTAACATGAGCTGATACATATTACAAAAAATCCTACTTATCCATCATTTCCCTTTTCTTGACTCTGTGTGTGTTCACAGGACGTGGGCGCAGACAGTTCCAGGACGTGTAGAGTTCTTCTCCAGCGAAGGCTCTGACACCTCTATACCCATTCCCATAGTGGCTCTGAAGAATGTAGATGACTCTTACCCACCGCAGAAAAAGTCCTTCATGATGCTAAAGTACATGCATGACCATTACTTGGACAAGTACGAGTGGTTCATGAGGGCCGATGACGACGTCTACATCAAGAGTGAGAAGCTGGAGAGCTTCCTGCGCAGCCTCAACAGTAGCGAGGCCATCTTTCTGGGCCAAACAGGCATGGGGGCCCGGGACGAGCTGGGTAAACTAGCTCTGGAGCCTGGGGAAAACTTCTGCATGGGGGGGCCAGGGGTCATCATGAGCCGTGAGGTCCTCAAGAGGATGGTGCCCCACATTCGAGAATGTCTACAGGAGATGTACACCACCCATGAAGACGTGGAGATTGGCCGCTGTGTCAGGAGGTTTGCCGGGGTCCAGTGTGTCTGGTCCTATGAGGTAAGATGTTGTCATTTTGTTTTCATACTTCATATATGAAGCAGCCTCTCAGTTCCCACTGTGTGTGTGAAGGGATACTTTACAAGTTGCATAAAACAAAAAAGTTTTACCTCAAACTGCACAGTTGATTACATTCAGTCAGAATTTAAGATGCAAGAGAAAGAAGGGCCTAATTTGGCCTGGTGGCCTTCTGGTCTGTCACACCGCTCATGGCATGTGCTTCTCCTGAAACACAGGAAATGAGTTCCACTTTGAAGAAACGCCTACAGCAGCTGAAGCTTCACAGAGAGCTCTGTGACTGCTCAGCCCCGTCTTTCCTATGTTTTATACACATTTGTTGCCGAGGCAGTTATGTCTCACTGAAATGAAGTTGTTGAGAAACAAAAGAGCATGCAGGAAGAGTTCTATAAATAGAACAACCACCCTGTTTTGGCTCTGGTGCCATACGTTGTTCCAGAGGAGCCTATCGCAACATGCGTTGGATACGAGGCACTTAGAGGCAGGCAGATACCCTTATAAAGGCTGCTGGTCTATTCCGCTTTATTTATACTCAAAAGCTGTTGAAGGAACTTCGCAGGCAGAGACTTTTCTGCCCAGCTTGTTCTCCGTTGCATTATTACCCAAACAGCCAGGGCCCGTGTAAACTATTCTTTGAAGAAGCTAGCAAGTCATAAATCAAACATAGCTGCATGCTCTGCTTTACAGCATCTTAATGTTGAGAAACCACTGTTGTGTAAATGATGATAGTTAACAGCTGTTTGACCCTCACTGTGGTCTAAATGAAGTTTCATACAGATGTTTGCAGCGGTCTAGTTATCAACAGAGCAACATGATGACTCGGCAGGAGAATCCGTGTACGGTTTGTTCTTTGGTTATTCCGTTTCAAAACTGAATAGGAAAAACTAAAAACTTGTGTTGTTTTTCTGTTTTAAAACCAAAATGGAAAAACAGAACACCAAAAAAACGACGTTATTCAGTTTTAAAACCAAAACGGGAAAACGGATAAATCAACTTTTTGGTTTTGTTTGACTAAGAGGACGTGTATCTTCTTGTTTTTATTTATTTATTTATTTATTTACAAGTAAACGCGAAGCTCTCGGAAGTGATTTAAAAACAAAAGCACTCTTATGCTAAAATACACTTGCATTGAAGCACTACAGTATCCGGTTAAAAGAACCGTGATAATATTATAAACAAGGTGAATTTAGGCTAGTTCATTGCGGTCACAACGATAAGCCTCTAAGCGTAGTATATCTATGTCTAAAATGGACAACATTGTTAGGAGATTTAAACTATACAGCGATTCTGCACTGCGCTCAACTCAGCCGCCTCGCGTTTGCTTGGTCAACTCAGAAGCTCTTCATTTTTTGAAGCTCCATTGACTAACATGCAATGACTGGGACTGATGGAAAGAGGAGGCTGGTGAGACTGAATCTGCGAGGAATGAACTAGGGGCAGATAAATAATCATATTTTAAAAGACAGCATCATCAAAAGAGGCCAACAAGAGTGACAGAGTGTGTCACTGGGTGTTTCTCAATCGCGAGTACGCTTGCTTGTTAGCACAAGTCTTCCGAGTCACTTGCTTCAGAAGCGAGGCAAGAATACTTCCTGGCATTCGGAAAACAAAGAGTGTTTCTCAATCGCGAGTACGCTTGCTTGGTAGCACATGTCTGCCGAGGGTCTTGCTTCAGAAGCGAGGCAAGAATACTTCCTGGCATTCGGAAAACGAAGTGTGGAACACGCTAGCAAGTGTGCAGGTGTGCGTCATATGAGAGGCCCCGCCTTACATCTTCCGCCACAGATTTGGGGAAATTGGTCCGTGCGCAAAGCATTGTGGGGATTTTAAGACCGCGGAGTCTACTCATGTGCAGCCTCGATATTTCTCCAAACTGAGTACGCCAGGCTCGGTAGATTTCCAAGTATGCTTGAGATTGGAACAGTACTTCGGCGGCACTCGATGACGTAGTATGCTTGAAATAGTCGCTCTGAAGCAGCTTTACTCGCGATTGAGAAACACCCAAAGAGTGGAACAGGCTAGCAAGTGTGCAGGTGTGCATCATATGAGAGGCCCCGCCTTACATCTTCCGCCACAGATTTGGGGAAATTGGTCCGTGCGCAAAGCATTGTGGGGATTTTAAGACCGGAGTCTACTCGTGTGCAGACTCGAAATTTCCCCAAACGAAGTACGCCGGGCTCGGTAGATTTCCAAGTATACTGGACATTGGAACAGTACTTCGGCGGCACTCGATGACGTAGTATGCTTGAAATAGTGGCTCTGAAGCAGCTTTACTCGACATTGAGAAACACCCAGTGTGCTGAAGGATAGTTGTGACCAGCTATCCAGGCCAGACTCTAAAGACTTTCCAAGGGGTATAAGCTGTTACTGGAGTACTGACTGGAAGTATTGCTGATATCATGTCTACCATAAACTCTTAAAATACTCTGTCCAACAATATCAGTCTCAGGAAGAAAGGTATTTTAATATTATAAAAAATAGCGTTCTTGTACTCAGAAGGGGACTTTGACAGAGGATTTCTAAAAAAGAAAACACAGTAAAAGTACTTCATTGTATTGTTGGTAGTAGGCGTACTACTACTAAAATGAAGAGCTTCCGATTTGACAAAGCAAACGCGAGGCCATTTTAGACATAGAGATACTACGCTTAGAGGCTTATCGTTGTGACGCAAGGAACCAGCCTAAATTCACCTTGTTTTCTGTTGTGTATAATATTATCACGGTTCCTTTAACCAGATACTGTTGTGCTTCAATGCAAGTGCTTTTGTTTTTAAATCACTTCCGAGAGCTTCGCGTTTACTTGTAAGTAAATAAATAAAAACAAATGGTCAAAATGTTTTTCCCATTTTGGTTTTAAAACAAAAAAACAACACAAGTTTTTAGTTTTTTCTACTCGGTTTTGAAACGGAATAACCAAAGAACGAACCATACACGGATTCAGGAGGCTGTGTCTGCGTTTGCTCTGCAGCTTTCTAGTCATATCTTTCCAGATGACCTTGACATGTGTCAGCGTACTCCTTCCGTTTTTGTGAAACAAAGCAGACCTACATTCAAGATCACTCTTTTTAACAGGAAATCCAATAGTTCTGAAATGCATCATCATCTTTTTAATGTTTCAGAGCCCTCTTAAAGGTCGTACATGTCTACATCATCATCATCATCATCATCATCAGTCATACGAGCTCATTCTAGAGAATCTAGACCAAGAGACGGGAAGTAACCGCCCACACTCATGAGCCATGTCTCAACATGCTCTTATCTGCTCACACACACACGCACACGCGCACACACACACACACGCACACTCTCTGTCTCGCTCTCTTTTAAAAAAAATTGCAGTTAATGAAATATTTAGATATACCACATTGTGGATCATATACAGTATATAAAACAAATGATTTGTATAAACTTGTGTCTGTTTCAATAAGAGTGTGACGTGTGTGAAGATGAATACATTAACATTGTGTTTGAGTTTCAGTTCTGAAACTTCAGATGAGTGAAGTACCTTCTTGTTAAAGGTGTGTAAATGAAATTAGACATTGTTAGTCTGTTGACTTGCTTATGAGGAATTACTCTGTGATCAGAGGCTGTCTAGTTAGATATCTGTATATCCATTGTCTCACTTGGTTAAATAATAATGTTCTAATTTGTTTATGAAATGGAGTTGTTCACTCAGCGCTCTGTGCTCCCCCTCTGTCCCTCCTCAGTACTGGCTCTGCATCGTGTTTAAAATAGGCTAGGCCCCACCTTGTTTACACTCATCATCCAGAAGCCAACAGACATGGAAGGCCAGAAGTGCTGAATTAGCACAAGTTACAGCTACAAGTGCAGGCTGTGTGTGGTAGCAGCAGCAAGCACTGCTCTGCAGGATGGTTGCATTCTGGGAGATTTTAGAAGTCTACTAGCGACCGCTGCAACCTTACTATAGGGGGACTTTTCTCATTGAGGGGCACTTTGTGTCATCATTTGGTCATATACCAAATGATGACACAAAGTCACCATAGGATCTGCTTTTCCACTGCATGGCCCTGGCACCTCCCCCTGTGTTACAGTGTAACCTGGTTTGTTTTTTCAGACATGCTCCTTCTTTAAACTTCAGCAAACTATGGAGCCCCCTCAGAAAGGTTGGTCAGTCAGTGTCTGGCCAAGTCATTCATCAGAGTTGGGGGGTATCGAGTAAAAACTTGATGACTGGCTTTTGATCACAAAAGCACCTTAGTGGCTCCTAAATACATACCATCATGCAATCACACCATTCCAATGATACTACTGTTACATCTTAACTTGACCTCATAAATGACTTATAATATCTGGCCAGAAACTAAATGAAAAAGACCAAGACCCAGGAACCCCTTCCTGAATGTTAAAGCCTGCTGACTTGACTGTATGAGGTGAGCAGCAGCCTGCTGTACTCGGGAGCCCTGAGACCATTCCCTCCCCCACCCTGCATGCCAGCTCACAAACAAGCTCCAACACAGCTAATGGGAATCACAAGGCTGCACTGCTGAGAGCTGAGTCCACCTCCTAATCCTCACCTCTGCTGAGCGGCCCCCTCACTGTGCTGCCTGCCACAGCACTGCCTCTGAAAATTCATTCAGGATTAACTGGGTTCCAATGTATTCCTTCTTATCTTAATGTCATTTGTACATATTGAAAGCTACACATGGCTTTATATCTTACATAAAGTGTCTGTACATACAGCATGCATACAAGCACACATATAGGCAAATGTACTGAACTGAAAATGGAACATTTCATATTTGTACTGGTCAGTTTAACCAGTGATTACATTTGAACAAATTCACCAAGTGCATGCACTTTGCAGCAGAAATGTCTATTGTGGAAGGTTTCAAAGATCAGGTCAAATTTGTATCAAAGAAAAGGGGGGGGGAAATCCACAGACACCGGCTGAGGGGGTGGCCGATGCATCGCATGCTCATCACAGATATGCCAAACATGTGGACCTGTTGGGAGCTACAGAGG